GGGGATTACAGAAAGTGGGGTAAAGGAGGCATTAATGGGGATTACAGAGGTGGGGGTAAAGGAGGCATTAATGGGGATTCCAGAGGGGGGGCTAAAGGAGGCATGAATGGGGATGGGGGGTGCTAAAAGAGACATGAATGGAGTTCGTGCGGGATAAAGGAAGCTCTAATGGGGATTACAGAGTTGGAGGGGGGTTAAAGGAGCCAGAAATGGGGTTTATAGGGGGAGGTAATGGAGGCATTAGTAAGGGTTTATGGAGGGGCCTGAAGCAGACATGAATGGGGTTATGGAGGGTGATAAATGTGGCATTAGTGGGAGCTGTGGAGAGCGGTTACTGGGCTTGTTGTAGGAGTACTCCACACAGGACGCTGGGTTATTCTGGATGGCAGCTCTCTGCTGGGAGTAGGGTATGAGAATGCTAGACTTGTGAGAGTTATTGACCTTAACCCTGAGCTGTGCCCTCCTGTCTTCCTGTTCCATCACCCCCTCCATGCCAGGTTTGCCAAGCTCCTCCTGCGCCTCCCGGCCCTGCGCTCCATTGGACTCAAGTGCCTGGAGCACCTCTTCTTCTTCAAGCTGATCGGAGACACGCCTATTGACACCTTCCTCATGGAAATGCTGGAGGCACCGCACCAGCTCTCCTGAGTGAGCAATGACCCCCCACCTCCATCCATCTGGAGTGCTATGAGGACCACCTCCCCCCACGTACCCACCCGGAGCTGGCCAGCACGCCATTGGATAGTTTTCGAGATGGTCTGCTGCAGCAATGGTGGAGAGAGCCCTGTCAGAGAGATGGTTTAGGGGGTGGGGGGAGGTGGGGTGTTTGCAGAGAGCGGGGAGTGTGGATGGTGGGCGCTGAGCTGGCCCAGAGGATCATCAACATGCCCGGTGACGGCGATCTCTCTGTTCTTGTTAAACTCCTCCCTCCCTTGCTCCTCACTCCTGCCCGGCTCACTCGCTCACTGTCTTCCCTGAGGATTCCCGGCCCCTCACTGAGTGAAGCCAGTCTGCAGATGCTGCCTTTATTTCCTCCAGTCAGGCCTTGCTTAGCTCTCACTGCAGGCTCTGGGAGATACGTGCGTGTAAGTATGTGTGTGTGCGTGTACGTGGGTGTGTGTACACGCACGGGGAGAGCACGGAGGGACATACAGACTGCAGATTGACCGCAAAACGGCCTGTATGTTTGAGCGATGACCGTCGATCGGACATATAGCCTGCAGCTCTCGCTGTGTCTGATGGCATCGCTCAGTGAGGCTAGAGCACATGACCATGTGGTCAGGATGGAATCCAGAGGAAGTGGCTCAGGGTAGGGGAGAGGGCTGAGGTTTCAGCCCAGAACCCTGAGTCGTTCGCTGACAGGAAACAATAACTAGAAGAAATTCACATGACAAAAAGTGATTGATAAAGGACGCTGTTTCACAGGCTGGACCAGATTAATTGACGATTAGAATATGGTTCTTCACTTTGTATTTAAACTGTGCTTTACCTGCTCTGGGAGTGTTTGAAAGGGACAATGGAGAGGAAGCTTTACTCTGTATCTAACCCCGTAGTATCCCTGTCCTGGGAGTGTTTGATGGGGGACAGTGTAGAGGAGGCTTTACTCTATCTAACCCTGTGCTATCCCTGTCCTGGGAGTGTTTGATGGCATAGTGCAGAGACAGCTTTGCTCTGTATCTAACCCCATACTGTCCCTATCCTGGGAGTGTGTGATGGGGGACAGTGTAGAGGGAGCTTTACTCTGTGTATCCAATCCTGTACTGTACTAGCCCCCAGTGTTGCTGGTTGACTGAACTGAATGAAATTCCTTTGCTGAACACTGACGTCCCGTACCTTGTGGGGTTTATCCAAGCGGCTTTAAGGCAGGGCACGACTGGACAAGGCTAGCTGCCCCAGAGACCCAAGCCAATGACACAAAATAGACGCTTTGCAAAGAACTAGGGAGAAATGGACTGACATTTTGTCTATACTTGCTGCTCCATTGAGCTGTTATATCAAGTGCTGTTTGCACATTTGCAGGTAGCTTTGATTTATTGAGGCTCAGACAATATTTACAGCATGTTTTACGAAATAATATCATTGTGATGTTTTTGACATGTATTTTGCTACCAAACGCATTAAAAATGAATACCATTGTAACCCAACCTGCTTGACCGTGTGCTACAAATGTCCATTATCAGCTGAAAGCGACGCTTGCTCCACTTTATGCTTGTTATTCATTCTCAGTGTAAAGTCTAGGATTTATTGCCAACCCTTAATTGCCTTGAAGAAAGTGGAGGTGAGCTGTTTCCTTGAATCACTTTAGTTCAGATGATGTAGGCATACCACAGTGCTGTGAGGGAGGGGGGGGTTCTGTAAATTTAACCCCGTGACAGTGACAAAACAGTGACTTCATTTGTTCACGGGGCGTGGGCATTTCTGGCTAGGTCAGTGTTTAGTGCCCATTCTTAGCTGCCTTGAAATTGAATGGCTTGTCTGTTTCAGAGGCCATTTGAGAGCCAACCACATTGCCTGTGGATAAGGGCAGCACGGCGGCTCAGTGGTTAGCATTGCTGTCTCACAGCGCCAGGGGACCTCAGTTCAATTCCCATCCTTGGGAGACAGCATGTTCTCCCCGTGTCTGCGTGGGTTTCCTTCCACAGTCCAAACGTGTGGAGGTTAGGTGGATTGGCCTTGGAGCACTTGTTCATAGTGTCCAGGGATTTGCAGGCTAGGTGGGTTAGCCGTGGGATTATAGGGATAGAGTAGGGGGTGTGTCTCGGTGGGAATGCTCTTCAGAGGGTCCCTGCAGACTAGATGGGCTGAATGGCCTGCTCTGTACTGTGGGTTTCTATGATTTCCTTCCTTAAAGGACATTAATAAACCAGATAGGTTTGTTATATAGTCCCCACTAAGCGAGCACTTTTTTTTTAAAATTCCAGATTTTCATTAAATTCTAATTTCCCCACCCACTGTAGTGGGTTTTGAACCCATGTCCCTAGACCTGGAGTCCTGATTTACTAGCCCAGTGACATTACCATGGTAACACTGCATTCCCGGATATAGAACACAGAACATTACAGCGCAGTACAGGCCCTTCGGCCCTCGATGTTGCGCCGACCGGTGAAACCAATCTGAAGCCCATCTAACCTACACTATTCTATTATCATCCATATGTTTATCCAATGACCATTTAAATGCCCTTAAAGTTGGCGAGTCTAGCAGGCAGGGCATTCCACGCCCTTACTACTCTGAGTAAAGAACCTACCTCTGGCATCTGTCCTGTATCTATCACCCCTCAATTTAAAGCTATGTCCCCTTGTGCTAGCCATCACCATCCAAGGAAAAAGGCTCCCACTGTCCACCCTATCTAATCCTCTGATCATCTTGTATGTCTCTATTAAGTCACCGCTTAACCTTCTTCTCTCTAACAAAAACAGCCTCAAGTCCCTCAGCCTTTCCTCATAAGACCTTCCCTCCATACCAGG